TCGGTACAATCTCTAATACCACACATATACAAAAAGAAAGTTAGTGGTCCTATCTTCCAGTGTCTGTGGGAGGGTATGAATCTAGCTTTAAAACAACAACAACAACAACAAAAGAGCATTCAGCAACACAGATGGCTTCATTACCTTGACCAGCCTCTCCACTACAACCTTTAGCACTTTCCTACTAATTCACCCAGGATTTATAAGCTCTCCACTCATTCATTTAAGCAAAATTGGGTTCAGTCTTTCCTATTGCAAAAGTTTTACATAAAGTGCTTCTTGCTTGTTAAATTTTCCAATGAAATTTTTCTTTGACAACAGGCTCTGCAAAGTGAGCATGTGTTTTTGCTATCCATTTACTTTAATAGTCATTAATATTTTGTCATTTATGGATTCAACATAGTAAGGATGAGCCAAAATGTTTCTTTACACACCAGACAAGTGAAGTCGTTCTTGAGGTGAGGTTAAACTCTCCCTATCATCAATATGAAAATATTTCAGTTAGTAAACCTTCAGGTAAAATTATACATTCCCTCCAACTCATAATTCAATTAAGTTTGGAAAGCAGTGGTTAGGTAGTTTTAAGTTAGATAAACTATCTCTAGCTCATTATTGAAAGCTTTCATTAAAGATTAAAAATGTAAGACTCTTTATACAAATTCTACACTGGTCTCAGCATCTTAGCATTCAATTATCATTTGTGAAATCTGAAATCAACATATTTTATGTCTAAATTGAGAGTACATTTGAAAATCAAAATTCAAAGGAATGCCTTCTTGTGGGCTGACTGATGGGAAAGGGCTGTGATTATGCCTAATTTTCACCCTCTACATCATGATCTCATTGATTATGTTTCTCAGCTTGCTAAGGGTTCTGTGAGGTGATTTTCAAGATGAATATTGCTATTTGCAGGATTTCCTGAATAGGAATATTTTAGGAGTAAATTGCACAACCAAGCGATGTGCAGTCAATTTTCACTCCAGCATAAACAATGTATTAGAACAGAGCCCTTAAGGCTTTTTTATTTGGGTTTCATTACACAGCTAGCTGCATTTCATCAATAAGCACGAAGTGCCAAGTAGACAAAACTGAGGCTTACAGAAGGTATTACACACACACACACACACACACACACACACACACACACACACACGTTTTTTCCTAACAAGTGCTCAGAATTTGACTAGAGAAAACAAATGATCTGAATGGCAGGGCCCTAGGCCCTTCACTTCAGAGGTAGCTATGACCATTATAACCAGACAAAGTTTTTTTTTTTAATAGGAAATGGAGACAAGAGTCTAGCTACATGTACACTGACTTTCTTTGCATAAACTCATTCCTAAGTGTTTTTAAAATCTTTGAAAGGCAGTTGATTTCTCTGTTGAAAATGACCATGTCCAAACAGTAAACTGATGACTCATGCTTGTAATCCTACCTACTCAGGAGGCTGAGATCTGAGGATCAAGGTTCAAAGCCAGCTCAGTCAGGAAAGTTCATGAGACTCTTATCTCCAATTAACCACCAAAATAAATCAGGAAGTAGAGCTGTGGCTCAAATAGCAGAGTGCTATCCCTTAGCAAAAAAAGCTTAGGGACAGTACCTAGGCCTGAGTTCAAGCCACAGGATAGGCACAAAAAGTGGGCATCTCCTCAAAGCTGTTTGAAAGCTTTGGCTTTTGGTAAAGTTCAGCAGCGAAAAAAACAATTCTCATTCTTCATTATTTGAAAAGAGAAAAGTTTAATTTCTTTAAGCACAGGGAACAACAGACTATAAAGACTGAAATCTGTAGTTTAAAACAGAGGAACTCAGTATAAACTTTGTAGATCACTTATTAGATGGGGAGTAAAGATAGAAAATATACAAAGAGAGATAAAAAATTAGTCCTGGTTAGTCACAGGGGATACCATTTCCAGATTGCAAGTTAGAGAGTTGAGACTGATTAGAAGAATCTCTTAAGTTATTATATAGATGCATGCATGTGGTGTTTCCTTTTCCTTTTGTTTTGTTTTTGACTGAGGTATAGCCACAACCAGAAGATAAAAGCTAGAGGAACATTTAGAAATTTGTACTCCATAGATACAGAGCTCAGAATATGCACAAAGAAATGAAGCCAAGGACTTTTCTACAGAAACAGCCACCTTTCTCTTGAAAGGGAAGAAAATATCCTGACACTCTGACGCAATTCACAGCAGAGATAGTAGTGACTTGGAGCTTTGATAAAGAGTAGTTTTTATTCCAGATTGTGGGGATTTATCTGTTAAAAACCTATGGGCTGTTGGGCTATGGACAAAGAAAAGCCTAATATGAGTTTTCAGTATTTAATAACCATTCTGGGGGGGTGTGGACACAGATTAAGACAAAGTTATTTTGATTGAATCAACAAGACCTGTTTGTATTTGAGATAGTGTCTCTATGTATTCTAGGTTGGTTTTGAACTCTCAAATATCCTGCCTCAGCCTCCCAAGTGCTAGGATTACAGTTGTGCACCAACATGCTTGACAAATCAGTATATTTGTATCAGGAGATTTTGTTGTCCTTTTGCCTAAATATAGTCTACTATCAAGAAAATGTGGTATATATACACAATGGAATTTTATGCCTCCATCAGAAAGAATGACATTGCCCCATTTGTTAGGAAATGGAAAGACTTGGAAAAAATTATATTAAGTGAAGTAATCCAGGCCCAAAGAAACATAGATCCCATGGTTTCCCTGGTTTGCAATGACTAGTATATGTCTAGGACAAGCAGAGAAGGTCAAAAGCTATGTACATATGACCACATGAGATAATGTTATGCAAAATGTACCCAAGACAGGGGCACAAGTGTTTTTTTATTTCTTTCTTGCTAGTGGTTTTAATTTACTTATAATCCACTATGTGATTCTTTTGTTTCTTTTGTATGTTCTTCTCCCATGGTATAACCCCTGTTTTCACTGGATTTGATGCCGGTGTTCTGCATCTTGTATATACATTTTTGTAATTTGGGGAGGGGAAGGGATATAGTGGAACACTTAAATGGTGATGCAGATTGACCCATTGTGATGACAAGATGTACAGGGCACTATGTTGAAAATGAACTTTACAATGTTGGGGTGGGAGGGGGGAGCAGGAGGAGTTGGGGAGGTAGGGAGGGAAGGGATGGTAGGGGCAAACAAAGGAGGAGGTAACAATGCTTGCTACGAAATGTACCTTACTCATGTAGCTGTAACCCCTCTGTACAATATTTTTTAATAAAAATATAGTAAAAATTAAAAAAATATACTCCACTAACAAAAGTAAGTAATATTGAATATATTTCATTATTGTACTAAAAATACATTATAACCAAAGATTATATGTAAAAGTTGATAAATAGGCTTTTGAAACTGTGATTTCCAACAAGTTATTTCCAGTTGGGAGGAAAGAATTCATGTCATATTCTCTTTGAAATATTTTGCTTTAGGATTACAGTGGATTCAAGATAAGTGAGAATCTGGCTGAGGTTATTGTAGGTTGGGCCAAATAATTGTACTACCTTGTTAGGATTACTTGTGTAATGACAATGGAATTATTTATTGAGTAATATCTATTGAGTATTGATGAGACTTAGCAGAACTGAATAGGTGCTAGTCATTTATCTCTGAGGATATGTATTACATACTACCTAAGTGGGAAAACAGGAGATACCCAAGAATGAGTGTATTCTTGGATTGATTAAGTGCTTTGCATTCATCCAGTCTTGTATTTTGTGATTTTATGGGCTTCAGGTACAGGGTGACTGGACGATCATAAACTAGACCTTCATGTCAGGATCTCCACTGTACCACTAATGTGCAGGCAGTGTTGTTACCTATGTATATATTTTCTTAATGATTACTCAGTTTGTTACCCAGAAAACTGAGTGTTAGAGTGAATCCAAGACCGTGACACTGAACAGGCTGAGTTTTGTACAAGTGCAATAATGTTCACCTTTGACTTCAACAGTGCCATCTGTTCTTGGGAATAAGATACCAGAATGATAGAAATAGACATCAGGGAGAAATGTCCTTTGCAAACAGAATTCATGTTATCTGCAGCAAACTTGTTCATCTCTTTCTTAGCCTTAGTCCTTAGCTTGATTTGAACATACTTTTCTTAAACCTTTCTAAGATATGAATTTTAGATAGGAATCAATTTTTGATTAAAAATCAAAGTTCAGTTAGAGATGGAAGTGTTTCATAAAAGCAAATATGATACAAATATTCTACTGATATGAGTTTAATGAAGATGATCTAGTAAAGATAGTAATAGAAAATGCTAGTTAACTAATAATAGTAATTCATTATTGTCATTATGAAAATAATTATGATGATAAAGATTCTATAGTTGACCAATTTAGACAAGCTTCTCAACTTCCTAGGCCTACCTATGTGCTTTCTTATAAAACTGAGTCTTAGCAAAGAAGTAAATTGTTCAATATATCCTTGCTAAAATAAGGATACTTATTCTTTATAGCAATTACCTCAGTATCTGATCCTCTTCCATATCTGCTTGGGTTCCTCATCTTCTACTACCCTGCAGGTAATGTTTGATTAGGCTAGCCTTTCTTCAAAAAGAATCGTGATAGCTTTATTTAATCAGAATCTTCCCTCACTCCAGGTGATTCCTTTTAGTCATTTTCTATCCATTGACTACCCTACCTTGCTCTGACACTATGAATTCCAGTTTCCCACACTGAACTCAAATTTGAGCTTAACTCGCTGCCTTCACCCACTGCAGTGGGTCTTGTACTTGTGATTTCCTAAATAAAGTCCTCCAAACTGCATTAACAAGTAACATTGCTTTTTCTTTAACAATGACAATGGCAGTGAATGAAAAAATTAATTCAATCATATTGTTATTCTATTAGGAAACAGTAAATAAAACACACATTTGTTATCTTAATTTCTTTTTGCAGTGCTGGGACTCAAACCCAACAGTCCCTTGCACACTAAACAAGTATTCTACTACTGAGTTACATTCCCAGCCCCAGAAGCCTTTACCTTAATATCAAAAGGTCCTGTTTGACCTGGCTGGTTATAAATTTCCAACCGATTCCTTATAGGAGACAGCCACAGGAGCAGATAATCTAATTGATCTTCAAGATGCCCAAACTCTTTCAGGTAAGCTTCAACTTCTGTTTGTTTCTCAGGTAAAGCTCTAGAAACCTGAAAGGAAAATAATTAAAAGGTGAATGATTCTCGTAAAGCAAACAATAAAGATACAAAAGTATTTTTGGAAGTTATATATTTTTATACAAACATACTGATTTGTATATTTTAACAGCATGTAGATGAGTACTTAGTTTTATTACATGTCAAGAGTTAATAAAAAGCCAGGCGCCGGTGGTTCATGCCTGTAATCCTAGGTACTCAGGAGGCTGAGATCTGAGGATCAGGGTTCAAAGCCAGCCCAGGCAGGAAAGTCTGTGAGACTTTTTT